AGATAACTTTATTTATTGTTATTATTAAACTAAAATCTCCAGCATGGGGAAGTGGGCTGAGCTCGACTTTTCTCGACAATATCTATTCCATGTGGACAAAAAAAGCAAAATCATAGCAATCTGTTTACCTTGCATATGAGCAAAGAAGTCCCATTCTTCCGACTCCTCTCCAGTCAGAGTTTGATGTTTCATCACATTCTTCCTTTCCTGAATGTGCAAAACAGGAGGATCAAGGCTGTCAGCTGCACTGATAATGGAACTAAAAGAAAATTAAAGTTAATACAGTTTAAATCAATAAACTCTATACTGAGACAGCAAAATAAACACAGCAAACCCTTCTTTTCTGTGAAAGACGGGAGAGCTACTGGTCTTGATTCACCAAAATTAGACATCGGCTCGGCCTTGTTAGCCAACTTGAATTGCAAATGTCTTATTTACATTTTGTCATTTAGACTTAAAATTAGCATTTCCTCCTATTTATTCTGCCGTCTCGTTCCGATTTTCTTCAAAAAAGGGATTTCATTCAGCTCCCAAAGGAAAACAGTCATTAATTAAATAAGAGAAAATAAGCTGTGCTGCAAGTCTGATGCAATGAATCAGTAATGTCATGGCTGTCATTAAAATGTACCTTGTTCAGAGAAACTGCTGCAAGAGAATATTCACTTTTTCCTGAAAGATGCGATGAACATATGAACCTCTAAATGAACAGCAATGCATAAAGATAAGACTATAAAATAATGTTGCGTTGGGATGCCTTTGACTTCAACATAAGTCATGAAAAATCTACAAAATCGGACTGAAGCATTAATCTGGTCCTTAAATTTCATGCTGCATAAACTTATATTACCAGCGTCTTTAAAACCAGCGAGCCTTTCAGTGCTGTTTACTCTCTTCCCGTGAATTGCTCAATTTGGAGGCTATTGCCAAGTAATAACTTCTATGAGAGATATTCTTAAGTAATGTTTTATCATTGCAGTTTATTCAAACTGCATGCCTCTGCTTGCACTAGGACGTTTAGCGTTTTGAAGTCAAGTTACGTGGAAAAACGTGAAGCGACACCGGAAACTGTAATCTATCTCAAAATAAAAGCTCAGCATTTAATAACAAGGGAAAGCGCCTCTACAAGGCAACTAGTAAAGTAGTTTGTTTTGATGTGGAAAGGAAAGTGCCAACGTCACTATTTTAAAATAAAAAGACAACACAGCTTCCCAAGTGATACAACCATCAGTGCAATGCATTCCCATAATCGAACAAATCTATTGATGTCCACACTGACCTCTTATATTAAATACACACTTTCAGATTTGTAAACATCTATATCAGTTCTTCTCAAAGTTGAGGCTTCATGCTGGACCATAAGGTCCTTGAGATGATTTACTTAGATCAAATTTTAAAATGGGGGAAAAATCTTTCCATAATTCTTGCAAAACCTTAAAACACAGTACAGGGATGTGAGTGGTTGTGCATTGTTACTTTATTGTAAAGCACAATAAACTATATTAATATGACATTATCTTTATAAGTCATAGACTCAAATAATTTATAAAGATTTTATCAGTTGATGTGCAATTATTTCCTGCCAAGATATAGTGTATCCTTTCTCAGGTTCTTTTGGGCATTTATTTGTCATTTCACATTTATTACATTTTATACCATAATACTAAACTGGATGTTCATTGTCCTATGGCTTTTAATAAAGTTGTGTCTTTTTATTATTATTTTTATTCTGGTAAGTTATGTTTCACATAATAGAGGCCGTCAGTTATTTTGCATTGACTAAAGTCATTTCAAGTGATTGTGTTTCTAGCTATTTCATTAGTGTAGATGTGTACCTGATGGTCAAAATGCAGTATTTATCATAAAGTGACTAAGTAATTAATTCATTAATTGGTTAATAAATATGCATTTAGCTTAAAGTAATACGCCTGAATCAGACAGAATGATCGGCCAACACACTGCTGTAGAACCCAAATTTTAAAATACAGCGACCACAAAGGGAAGAATAAGCTTCAACACAGTCGTTTCTGCCATATTATTTTTAGAATATGTCCGGTTAGACATTAGATTACCCTGTTACAACGTCAAATGTTAAAAATGCTAAATTCAGTGGGCATGAAATGAATATTCTGTCAGTCCCTGGAACGTTTAACATTTCCGCGTTTTATTTTGAAGTAGCCAGACGGAAACGGAGCGTCATGTCGCGAGCTTGTGAGTCTTGCTGTTATGGAAACCAGGGTGGGAGGGGCTAACTGATGCCATTCGACTGGAGGTTTGATGCGGAGATGTTGTCCTCGGTGACCAGCTTAAAGCTCCCCGTCCTACGAGCTACTTCAGCATAAAACTTTTTAGTCTCGCTGCAGTGTAGCCTTTTCGCTGACTTGATTTTTGATGAAACCAGACGTTTTCCGTCGCTTCTTGTTTAATTTTCTGTTTAAAACTAGGCCAGGCTAAACCTGTCGCGCTGTAAATCCCCCCACCTCTCTCCTTTTGATTTTTTTTTTCTTCTCTCTACCCAAGACAACAATTCTGGTGTTTAAGGGAGCATTTAGAAGAAAAAACACTCAATTTTCTGGACTTTTTTTTCTTCTCCAGAAGATGCGGAATAGCCAGTAAGGCGACTGAAACTAACCTCTGCAACTATCAGACCCTGCATTGATGTCCCCTGGTTGCGGAGTCGGGCTGCTCGGTCATTGGGCTGAGGGGCAAATTTTTGTGGGGAAGTCGTGTGGAGCACAAAGAGCTTATTAATGCCGACAGTCAAGTTTTTCACCGTGTGTTGACAGAGGGACTGAGGTAGGAGTAGAGTTACAACGCTTTACGACCTACACTGCAACACAAAGTTAGTCAACTTTTCAGCGTGTAGCTCCTAATAAAGTAACTACATCCAGAAAGGGTTTTTAATCAGCTTCATTTGGTCCAGGGTTTATTCTTTTAGCTGCACCGTCTGATGATTTTTTCTAATCAGGAGTCCGATTTAAATGCAGACTGGTTTGCGATCACAGCCGATCTGCCAGTGCCGCTGGGATTTTAACCCACGTCCATTCATTTTTTACCACTCGGCTTCAACACTATGGAGGTGATATTAAGGAAAATGTTGCTGCTGCTGCTGGGGTGCATCTTATTCCTGGACTTGGCTCGACTGGCTGATGCAGAAGAAGGTGAGTCTGTTTTTTTTTAATTATTATTATTATTATTATTATTATTATTATTATTATTATTATTATTATTTATTTTTTTAAATCTGAAGATTATGCGTCATAAAACGATTATGCTGTGTGAAAATCTTAAGTAAAAAATACCGCAATCTCGTAGTATCACCACCAGCACCTACAAATGATATGAGCCAAGTAATCAGCTGCTAAAGGCCCTCCCGACCAGCAGAGGGCGACGAGGAGCGCTTTGTGTATTTATATTACTAGCAAAAAAGTTCGAACACTAAAAAAGCTCTAAAATAAAACCAAGTGTGTGCTTCTTAACACTCTTTTTCTTAAAGTCAAACCGAATCAACAAAGTTTGAGCTGTGCTCATGTTTCTTGCATTATTTGCCAATTTCATAAATTTTTCCTGCTCCTACCCCCGTCCCCCCAAAATACACAGTAAATAAGATTTCTTTGGCAATAAAGCAAATAAGTGAATCAAATTTGGTTGTGTCAGTCATGCCAAAATTTCAAATGTTAACGAAAAAAGATAGAAAACATGATATTCAGTGTATACTTACATTACAATTAGAAATTGCTTAAAAAACCCCAATCAGTTACAAGAAAAAAGGAAGCATAAGGACATATCCAATAATTGGCTAAAAAAAAAGCAGCTCCATTCTCTCTCATAGTAACATGTTAGCAAGTGTTTTTATTTTGGTTTATGTTCTAAATTATGAAATCAAACCATTTATTTTCATCCACTGCATAGCAACAGGTTGGGAAGGGGCAACTCTGTGCTCTGTGCTGCCAACAGCACAGTCCAACAGTCCAACAAGGGAGTTGGTAGAAAGGAAAGGGGTAGACAGGAAATCTTTGTGGTTTTGAAACAGTAAATTAAAGAAAAATAAATAAATAAAATCTCAGTATACCTTGTTACATATAACAGCCCATTCCTGTTTAAAATGCTGCCATTTTATACTGAAAGGTCCAGTAAAGAAAGAGCTGAGGCTACCATAGGATTTATGGGCATGTAGCGGTTACAACGCAAAAGTAATTTACCAAAATCTCAATGTAAAAGGACACAGGTGTGTCATAAATATCTGGCTATAAACTTCACAAGGTGGATTATATGTTTTATACCAGTTAGCACCGAAGCCAGAAATGCTTGGTTTTTTACCCCTTTTTAAATGTAACACAAAGGGCCTTTCTGAGTCCACTTAAACTGGATCCAATTCCACTTCCTGTGGGAATATTAACCAGTCATACCCTAAAATCAATACTAAAACATTCAGGGGCAAATATTGGCCTGGTGAGATGTTTATTGGGCCAGTGCAGAGTGCTGCGGCAAGCAGTAAAACATCCAACCCTCTGTATCAAATGTGCAGTTTGCCTTGTAATTTATATTCATTTCTTGAAAGCTGCCTTGACATTAACAGAGAAATTGTCTCGGATCAGTTTCGTGAAGCATTTCTAATTACACTGGAGGAAATAAAATTTTCGGTTGGTCTGGGGTATACGCGGAGGTGCAGTCATGTTGGTGGCCGTTATCGGATAATTTGCCTAGCATGAGAGTGGATAGGTGAGTACCTGTAACGGACATCAAGACTGGTGGGATCATGCTTTGTGTCGAATGCTATCGTATGAGCCTGAGAGTAAACCGTTTGGCATAGTCTCAGGAATCAATTTTTATCTGCCGTTTGGTTTTGCTTCGTTTTGTTAATAGCTCAGTTTCTCCACATCTGTGCGTTGGAGTGAGTAGAAACCTGCCTGGAGTCTGTTAAGGATGCAGCAGGATCACCTGTCTGCGAAAACCTTTGATATGAAATGATCTTTTGGAAATAATAGGTCTGTGTTTACTGCAGATCAGATAACCACTGCTGGGGTTTTTTTTTTGTAGCTGCAGTGTTTTTTCTTTTTTTATAGAAAACCTACTGCTGTGTGAGCTACTTATGGTTCTTCACATGGGAATTCCAGTTTATAATTTTGTTTTTGTCTTGTGTGTAGATTTTCATCCCCATTGCTTAGGTTGTAGAAGACGTAACATGATCAGCCTTAGATGTTACCTATAGCATACATTTCTGTGGTGATTTCCCTCCTCAAGGAAGCTTTTTCATTTGCTGAAAAAAAAAGAAACATTTTCCATGAAAACAATGAATGTTCAACCCTTCCACTCAAAAAGTTACTGTAAACAGGAACACAGTGAACATGCATGACTTCACATCTTGTGTGGCAGGAACACAAATCTGTCAGCTGCGTCTGGTTAGGAGGATTCAGACCTTTCCTCTTTCTCAGACTCGCATTTTGTTTTTTTTCTGCTGCTGTGCGCTGTATAAACAGGCAGCACATGAGGCATTACCACTGGCTTCATTAAGTGTGTCTTTTAGGATGTGTGCATACACACCCACGAGAGAAGCGAGTTAAATTACCGAGGCTGAATTCTTGCGGGGAAGACTTGTTGACTTTGTAGTCCTAGAGAGAAGCTCGGGATTTTCCCAGACACTTAATTTTGGTTAGTTTTCTTAAATCTGGAATACAGGTTGTTAGGGGGGCTTCTTCTAAAGCTGGAGCTGGAGGCTCTGCAACTTCAGATCAGAGTTGTAGCTTTGAGGTTTTGTTCATTTGGTGTGAGACAAAAATGCTTAACCTGAGGCATTTGTGTGAATTCTTTGTCAGATACTAGAGATGAGAAATTTACAAGCCGTAGGCTTAAATTGATTTTAGCCTATTTGTATTTCTTCAAAAGTAACAAACAATAACTATTTGTACTTGTTGCATAAATTTGAAATTGAGTGGCTTAAACAATAAAATGTTTCTAGTTAAATTAAACTGCCAAAAGTTAAAAAAAAAAAAATATCTTCCTGCATTAATTAAAGCCCAAAAATACAGTATTTTTGTCAAAGAAGATGGTTTTCTGCTCGCTTTTTGGAGTTTGTTTGCCATCATCTGGAAGCAGAAAGATACAAAAATATTTTTAAGTAATGCCTGGGGGTTTTTTTTACTGCTTATTATATGTGTTTGTTTTGTTTTTTGTTCTGTTGTTGTGCTCCCACCAGCTGAAAGCACCTCATCCGATTCCGAGCCAATTTCTCGCTGCATCTCTAAAGAATACGAGCTGTTAGAAAATCACAAATTGTCCCAGCTAATCTATTTCCCCCTTTCTTTCAACGATCATAAGCCGGTTGTTCCTAACAGGTGCAGCCTTAAGTGGAAAACAGGGATTTAGATGGCAGCCAAGGAGTCGGAGCACCTAGTCGACTGACTCCAGAACATCTGCGTTTTGCCAAGTGTGAACAAGATGTCTGGTTTTCGTGTCTTGGTCCGCGTCCCACTCCTCAGTCGGCGCACTCAGGATCACTCTCCCCCCACTTGTTCTCCACCTATTAGGGAATTCTGTAATGAACTGATGGGAGGGCAGATGAAGCTCTCAGCTGCCAAATCTCTCCTCCTTTTCCAACTAAAGGATAAATTAGTCACTTACACACACCGCTTGCTTGTTCATTGCTTGGATCTCTCACGCTTCTGTCTCTATGAAGATTAAAACACAGACCTCTTGATCAGATAATTACTTTGGCTGGAAATTAATAAGGCGCTTTGGGTGGAAAATTGTATCGGGTCCACACATTTCACCATCGCGCGCGCACACACTTGAAAACCAGACTTTTCTCTGCTTCACTGTGCATATAAAAAATGTATAATGCAAAGAATACTATAACCAGCACATTGAAGTAAAACTGCATATTCTTTTTAACCACCATTAATAATTTGTGCCACTAATGTAGACTTACTACAATTTTAAATAATGTTTGACTTTATGGATGTTGGCTCTAAAGATCAAACTTAACCTAAAGACCTCATCTTGTGAGTTTCATCTCGTTCATGCAGTTTTTCAGAATGCAGCCAGTGGCACAAGCACTGCAGTCTCTCCCAACTATTCAGACTTTTACGACACCAGCACTGTCATCAAAAGTAATCTGTGCTATCAAATTCACGTGGCTCCAAGTTGCTTTTGTGAGCCCATGTCAAATCGGTCATTTGCTTAGCTGTCTGGGTGTAACAGGTTCGTAGAAAGCCGTGCCTCTCTGCAGTTTGTGCATTTATTCAGAGCAGATTTTATCTAAACAACCAGAAAATCAGGGGGAAAAAAACAAAATGCAAATGATTGTTTTCTATTCTCTACCTCACTGCTGCAGTTCTCCTGTGGGGTGCCATTAAACTATAATTAAGTAATTAAAGAGCTCTTTCATCTGCAAACAAATGAAAACAATTTGGACAGCGTCGTGGAATAATGGCATTGTGGCATTTTTTTCTCTAATAGCTTTAACTTTTTCTTCTCGTTCTTACGGAAAAGTTAAACTGATAAGAAACACAAGACTTTGTTTTCTTTTCCGAACACTTTTGAAACTATATTTGCTGAACATGTGGATACAAGCCTACAACTTATCTTTGCATTCAGAAAAAAAACAACAACAAACGAAATCTAAAAAATGTCATTGTGCTCCTTACAATTAACTATTAAATTATTTATTTTCTATTATTTATCACTTATCTGTTTTATTAATAAATGTTTAACACACTTGATTTTAGATATTCTGCTGTTAGTGTAGAATAATCTGCTCTAGTTTGAAGTGGCTAGGTATTTTAGTTTTTAAGCAAGAGCAGGTAAAAAACAAAAAAATGTTGGAATCGCCCTTTAACCATTTCCTAAATTGGAAACTGCAATCAGAAGCCAACTTCGTCTTTGTTGAAGGTTGTCTGTAATGTGGTGGCAGCTAATGTCGCATCAACCCTGGATAATGTCTGGTTAAGAGCAGTGTGTCGGGTCAGAGCCTCTGTGATTTTTACTGCCTCTTGTTTTCTTTAGAGTTTCATTCAAAGTTGGATGTTGCCGTTTCCCGCTCCAGTGAGAAAACTGCTTGAACTCGACGTCATGTTGGGTTTTTTTTAGACGTGCTATCCAATTACTTATATTGGAAGTGAATGGTTTTGTCTTTTCTCTTGTCAATTTTGCTGAACATAAT